ATTGATCTGGAATTGATGAAAAATTATGTTTATTTATGAAAAAGTTGATTAAGAAATTTGGAGAGGAGAGGAGACTAATTTGGCTTTGATTGCTAATAAGTCAAGATTAAAACACAGACATTTAATGAGTAAGAGAAGTTTTCTTTTTCGTTACAGCAGAATAGTTTCCAAAAATGGTATTAGATAGAAGAGAATAAGTTGGAAAAGGAGATTTTCGAATTCCTCTAAAAAAAATTTGACCGCCATTACGAGTCCAGCAACGCGACAACACCGCACAACAGCTGATCGAGGTCGGTAAAGTCGGTGACGATAATTCAGTGCTGGAAGCATATTGACACGTATAACACACACAAACATTCATCTCACTGTTACAACCCCACTACTAACCGAAGCGTGCGACGTTGCCCGATCAAAATTCGACTGTTACCACCGCAGTCACAAGTCCTCCATTATTCATGTACATTTTCATTAATTATTGTTTTTAAGACCGGAAAAGTACGCCACAGCACTTCTAATTTGATGAGAAAAATAATTTTTAACATGAATGATTTATTTAGTCAATTTTATTTTTATTTTCAACTGAGTTGTCCACTCGCTAGGCTAAACATCCTTAATCAACCAAACATGATGGGTAACGGAATGGAGCGATTGTGAATGCCCGTATGGAGAAAAACAGCGAGGGCCGAGGTGTCATCACCTTGACTCCTCAATTTCCCCAAAACTACAAAACTTCAATAAAAAAAAAACCCGTTGATCCTCACTAAGAAAGATCCGGAAACTCGAGCATTCTCCCCCCGAGTAAATACAGAATTCCACGCGCATTCGTCACCCAGTACAGCTCCAGATAATAAAAAAGAAACCGAAACGTGTCTCTCGATGCTGTTCAATACAGTGTACAGTCATCGGTGTGACCCAGCCGTTGTACCTGAGTCTGCCTTGAGGCCTTTGGGCACTTCGGGGCGTCACAAAGGAAACGAGGCGACGCTCTCAGTACATCCGCCATCGTCAGAATTATAACCGAGCAATTGAAATCAACGAAAAAAAAAAATACGTCTCAAGATCTCGGCATAAAACCCCTCGAAAACAATTATTTGTAACGATCAAGGCATTTTTAAAAAATGCTTTGAAATAGTATGAATAAACTCCAGTTGAGTCGTTGAGTGCAACGAGGAAAATAGTATTTTTCCGGGCTGTTGGGATGGGGTTTTTTACTCGTGTGGAGTTGGCGAGCCGAAGGCGAGGACTGGCCAACAACACGAATGAAAAAACCCTATCGCAATAGCCTTGGGGCAAGATTTTTCTGCAGTGATTTTCAAGTTTCCGTTCTTGAGATGTATGCAATATCAATTTCTAGACGAGGAATCGTGAGAAACAGTACAGAACAAGTGCTTTCGTCACAACATAATCAATATATTTTTGCTGATACATTAGCAATTTGCCTACGAATGGAATTTCTATGACGATAGATTTTTAATTGAATTGAATAATGCGTTGAATTCAACACTGTCCCAACGTTGGCAGCCAATATTGCCCCGACGGTGGCAGCCAGTATTGCCCCCACTTTGGCTGCCAACATTACCCCGACGTTGGCTGCCAACACTACCCCGACGTTGGCCGCCAACATTGCCCCGACGTAGTTAGGCAAACTTTGCACCAATGTTGGTAGTCCACATTACCTTAACGTTGACAGCCAATATTGCCCCAACATTGTTAGGCAACATTACCTCAATGTTGGCTGCCAACATTGCCGCAACGTTAATATTTTTCACCTTTCCCTGAATATTTTTCTCGCTAAACAAAATGCACTCCAACTCATCTTGTTTTCTAAAACTCAAGCATTCTCATTATTTACTGTATGTTATTCAAATTCATTAAAATACCTGCCTCGCGTGAATCTCCCCATGATTAACCAGGTTTTTAAAAAATAAAATCAATAAAACTAAATAAAAAACTGATGAATTCTCATATTTTCTCTCCAATCAGAAAGAATATTCATTAAATATCGATTGAATCATCGATATTTGGCCATGAGACGTGCTTTTCATCCCATAATTCCCACATTATTCATAATTTCATTTAAATCCTCAAGTTCCCACTCGACATCTACTATTCTACATGTACTAATGTTTCGACCTCTGCTTCGCCTTCTTCACTCCAACTACATATTATATCCCTGTCTCGTTCAATCGTCAATTCCCTTCCTTCGCCACCACCTACTGGTGCCCGAGCAATTGTACAAAAACCGAGCAGCTCGTCTCTACCTCAATGCCTCTTCCCTTTTTCTCTCCAATTTTTTTTTCTCTTTTCAAATGTGGCCTAGCGGAGGAGGATCTGTCGGCCCCCGCTACGCCCACGACCCCCCCCCCCCCCCCCCC